ATCTAAAAGGTTTCTATTTATTTTCAAGTTTTAATCATCAAACTCTTGATTCCATTTTCTGGCTTGTTGGACATGTCTCTAGAGCAATCATACAATTAAAGAATCTATTGAACCCTTTTTATTCTTGAGAAATATTTCCATAAGGAGTGGGATAGATGGATGAGACGGTCTTTCAAAATTGACTTCATTTCTCAGAAATAGTTAATGTAAACCATTTTAGATACAGGAGAAAGTTAATGTTTAGATTGAATATGTGTACAAATTCCTCAAATAGATAAAAAGTCAAAGTGTCTGTTTAATCAGAGACGTATATATAAGTCTCTGGTTTAATTAAGTAATTTACAGTACATACGCCAGCCTCAAACCAGCCTGAGTAAAATATAGACTTACTATCCATCTTAAAATCATCGGTTTTATAAATTCTTCATGCATCATTTCTGTCCTGCTGTTGAATACATTAACATTAGACCACGCTTTCAACAAAGTTTGATATATTAATTCCCATATTTATAGTTTTAGATCAACGAATGATTTTAAAATCAGAGTCCATTTGCCACACCTCATCTTGTAATATAGTTATTAGAATCAGTGCGGTATTTCTAAATTGTACCCTCCATGAAATATAGTTATTAGAATCAGTACGGTATTTCTAAATTGTACCCTCTATGTAATATAGTTATATCAGTAATATACGGTATTTCTAAATTGTGCCCTGCATGTAATATAATTATTAGAATCAGTACGGTATTTCTAAATTGTGCCCTGCATGTAATATAATTATTAGAATCAGTACGGTATATAGACATAATACTTACCCATTACTTTCTTAGACATGATGTCTTGTTGTTGTGTAGGAATCAGTACAATAAAAATGGTGTCTGATATTGCCACATTTAATAAAATTAACGGGTAGTTCACAATTCAGAAGTTTATCTCCTAAAAACCAAAGAATCCTTCATTTAATTGGTCCATTTTAAGTCCAACAGAAATTCGTGGTTCATTCACGATGATCCATGTTGAAATGTGTCCGTATTGATTCCTCTCTACGTGTGTATGTAAAAAACACGTCTCACTCCTTCGTAATTATCTGTTCAAACAAGTGCCTACTTACGATTTTTTAACTTCCCGACCTTGTTTTCAAGATAACATACATATTCCATCAAAGGTACATTTATACTTATGTACCGGAGATACATCGGGAGGTTAAACAAAGACAGCGAAAATTCTTCAACAAAAAATTATCTGTCTCAAGAAGTAAGGTATGGTGTTATAGAAATGCTAACTAACATTGTCAAGCTAAAAATACCCTAATATATATACCAAGGTAAAACAGGGTTTATTGCTAATACTGATATTCCACACAAATCCGTGTGGTATTATATCGTCTGAGATATCAACATCCGGAAAAAATTAAACCTCAATTTTAAAAAATGCGATATTTATTATTTCAAATAATGGTTGTTAACGAAGTAAATAGAACAGGATCAATCATAAAGGTATATCAATCCCCCCCCTTTAGCCTCGATTCGAAGAATAGATCGATAGTGGTTATTTAACTAGTTATATTGAATTACGAGATCTTGTACAATCCAGGTACGATGTGTGTTTATGGTAGACGTCCCGTGTCTAAGTAAACAATATATACACATTTAAAGGCACACACCCACAAGTTCTTCATACATATATAATTCATGGTGCCCGCTAGCGTTACACGTTTTAGTGTTGGACATTTCAAACAAGTTTTACTTTATGATTTTTTTTCTAATTAACAAAATTATCACTAGACTCATTTTTAATACATTGAAGGGAGCACTCATGTGATTCGAATGAGAGAGAGAGAGAGAGAGAGAGAAGTCATACAGAGAAAATGGTTATCGTTATACATACGCAGTTTCCCCCAGAACATCGCCCTTTAAAGGTTGGCATAGGAGGATTCATTAAAGGCTGTGTAAGATTGTGTAGTGAAGCGAATACACAAACCCAATACCGAGGACTTAGCGTCATAATGGAATCTCGACACCCATAGCACGCCCCCTTAATTACCAAATACCCAGACAAACAAATCACGTATATATCTATATTTAGATATAAAAATGTTGGTTTAAGATAAAGGTTTTACAAATAGGAGGAAAGAGAGAGAAATGAATTTTAGATGATGCGCGACAGAAATTATAAATACTCTATCATTACACAGATAATGTACAAATACAGATAAAATATTACCCATTATTTGCATTCAACTTTCCCACACCCTCCACTTGTATACATTTTTCTTTCGCCATCCCCCCCCCTTATTACCTGTAATACTGCAATATATTTCTGGACTTGATAATGAATATGATGACACAGAATAACGAGTTCTATCTCGTGACTTGTGTAGATTTCTCGTTCTATAAATAAACTGTTTTATCAGTACAATTACCTGATCGTCTACTATATGTATTGATTACTGTTATTAATTTCGAGTTTTTTGGTGATTTTTAAAGTCATTATATACATATTTAACCAGTTATCAATGAGACCAATAAAGTTTCCCCTTTTGTGCAGTAATTTGACAAAATAACTTTTCTGTATTTACTTATAGACTACGTTTAGAAATATAAATAGATGTTGAAACAAGCGATTCTATATGTTGAAATGAACAAGTTGATTTATGAAAAGTCATCAAAATCGCTGTTATATCCGAGGAAGTTTATAACTTTGTTTCAGCACAGAACAATTATTTCGGCGTCCGCCATCTGGCAAATTTCAGCGTAACATCAATATGTGGTAAACACAGATTGAACAACAAAACTTTTTAAGTTTCAATAGCCTTATTTTCAATCAATGTTGCAGGATAAATAGAAGACATGGTCAGTGTCTTTAAATATAAACCGTATTTTGGATCAAGACAGCGACCCACTTTTGTCTTTCTTCGCCCTCGCCAAATTACTGCTTATATTTTAAGACACTGATCGTTTATTCTATGTTTATTATCAACCTTAGAACTAGACACGGGACACATATTGTAACATATACACACGGAAAACATTTACTCTGAGGAAACAGGCATATATCTACAATAAATATTAAGATAAAATTCTGTGTAGAATTAATAAAGCGCTGCACATGTCTGAAGATATTTGAGACAAAATACGTTATATGTTGTAAAAGACGTTTTCACTTGTATTACCAGAAGTACACAAAGCTATATTTACTAGTGAGTTTAATTGAAAACAAATTTCAGCAGCGATTAAAATAAACGTATTTCTGAAATTATCGTTTTCTAAAATAGCTGGATTGCATAAAGCACTGAAATAAAGAAATGATTTTCTCCCCATACCTCTAATCACAGACTATATCTAAAGTCTGTGCTCTAATTAATGTAACTGTCAAGGTAACCTCTGTTACATATACTGTGCTTATTCACAGTTGTACGACTTCTACAATTCAGATTAAAAGATCTGTGTTTCTGCTCATTTTGAGAACAGATTTTTGTACTGGTGCATTTTTTCCAAATAAAAAAATCCCCCTTTTTAATATCAGTTATCAGTTTATGTTGAAGTATGACTGTAACAACGAAATGGCATATATCATATTTATTATATGGCTGTTCTCATTCTCGCTCATTCCTTCCATAGCAGCTGCTACTAGTCGTTGAACTTGTGACGTCACATTCAGCGCGAGTCACGCTTTGGTTGATTAGCAGTAGAAGGACGGATGAAAATCATACATTTGACATGTCAATATCTCGGTACTGGGCCGGTCGATTTGGATGAGACTTGGAACCTCTTTAATTTTGGATCATAATTAATAATACTATATTCATTTCTATTTTCTCTCAGGGTACACTTTGAAGAGAACCTCGCCGTCGCGATCTCACATTTGTCTCGTAAGATTGCTGTGGGGTTGGCTGATTCAATGTAACCAGCCGCTATTTGTACTAAAATCTAAATGATAAATTTGAGAAATGAAATATTACGGAAATCTAATGACTTATGAAGGAGCGCAGGTGCTACAATCGCTTGTATTATAAGGACAAGCATCCTAAGTGTTTTCTCGACATTTAGATATAATTAGGGAAATCCTTAAACGTATGGATGGACGTTTAGGCGTTGTTTACAGCAGTGTGACCGATCGAAGTCGAGGCAAGATTCACAAACTGTTTCACATTTACGATCATTCAACAATGTCAGCGTTCTTTTTGGAGATGTGTATCAGACAGGCCCCTGACTTATGTCAAATTTGGTTAATTGATTAAGATTGCTTTTTCCACGGATTTTTGTTTTCGTTTATAAAAACTGAATTAGTCTCTACTGAATCGATCACAAATAAATAATGAAACTGATAAACATGCGGTTAACTGGATACTAAATAGAGGATTCGTGAAATTTGGTGCACGCAAAACTGAAGTATTCTGCAGTATATTTAGTACCCTGTTATAAACGTCATCAGAAACGGACTTTGCAGAATGAATTAAATTTCTTGTCGACTGCCCGGCGTGAATCTTCTGATGGAAACTAACTTCCAAACACTGTCGCCGAGTCCCGAATCCTAGCAGGGAAAAACTTGTCGATAAACACACTTTATACTGTAGTATTGGATACCGTTATGGGCAGTTCCATATTGGTGTGCTGTTATTTGATAGTCTTTAAAGAACAGCACCAGGGTTGGATTTATAGCGAAATAAATAGACTTAAGCGTTGATTTAAACGAAAATTGTGTGTTATTTATCAAATATTGACAATTCGATGTAAATTATAGATTGCAAAACAAAAAAAAAAAAAAAAAATCGCTGATAAAAAGATTGTACCCTGAGCCTGTAGGAGTCAACATGAGATTAACTGAAGTTTCGTATACAGATATTAAACAGACAATGGCATGACGTCACGATGGGCAATAGAGAGGCCACTTGTGACGTCACATTCTAGTTGCTAAGCTGCTTAGCAATCGGCGAAGGCGGAGATGATGAGTCTCTCCCCTGATTTTTGCTTTATATTGTAAAATCTTGGCTGACCACAATGAATATCAGGTCATTCCTGCTATTTGTAGTAATGCTGAGCGCAATACAACAGGGTCCCGCAGTATACCGGGGCCTTGTATGGTAAGTTTTCTTTATAAAGTCGCTACCGTGACTTTTTTGAAGGATTTTTCGATATTCTAACTAAAAATTCATACTAATGAGAGATTACAAAAAGCCATGCTGCATTTTTTAAAGAAACATTTCACCTGTAAATATCGCACTTTCCTTTAGCGTGGAGCCCGAGCCAGGATATGTCCAAAGACTTTACCACTACTTCACCGCATCGGAATTCGAGAAAGTTTGTCCAACACCTGCCGATATTACACTGGTAATTATCGTATAGGACTTCGCTCTAAATGATTCATTTGTGATTTTTTCAGTCAATCTAATACTATCAAATTTTCGAATGTTGACTTTTCTGGACATTTTAAATGATTGTCTCCGTGGAAATGTAATGTTTTTTCGTTCATTTCAGAGAATTGGAAATGAGATTTTGTTTACTCTCCTCTGTACCCTTGTAAGCTTACTATTAAGGAACACTCCAACCATTGGGAGGTTTGCCAGAAAGGGATGCTCAACCACGATGTCGATGATCCATGAATGGAGGACTCGTAAGTAATACTGTCTGATGAGTAACGTCACTCTGTTTGTTTCATCGTAAACTTTGATATTAAAGTACACAGTATCTACTTGACATATCGTAACATACTCGTATATGTACTTATACAGGTCCTTCACGCTGTCCTCACTGCGGAACCGTTCCATGCCAAGTCAAAAGAAGATCCTTGTGGAAGCCATCAGGATCTCGGAAGAGTGACAAAGCCAACTTCGCACAGAGGGCAAAAGCAATGGCACTGTTCAACTATGGACTCGAGTTATCCGTGGTGCTTACCAAAGAGCTTCCCCTGGATGACCTCTACTGGCGGAGGAAATTCTGTCACCAGTTTGAAGAGAAGCACATGGTGCTGTTTCCACTTTGTATCCAGCGCCAGATCAACTATTGGTACCCAGTTCCTCGCTAGGTTGGTACACTGTGTTCACGCTTCTTTCCTCTTCATATAACCTTTTTTTTCTTACTATATTGGTTACTGATTCTGAACCGTCAGTGCCGACGTCCTCCATAGAATATCCTAAACACATCTGAGGCAGGACAAGAACAGTCAATCAATGTGTCATGAATTGCGTTCATGTCATCACTTTTATTTACAATTAATTCTGTTAGTGTTCATATACCGGTAGGATCTCGCATTGAAAACGTACCTACAAATATAGCCTGAGAGTGTGAACAAAGAAATACAACCCATTAAGTTCTAAATATATTCACCATGAAGTAGTCACTGTACAGTTAACTCCCTTTTTTCCGCGGTGTTACATTCTAATTGAAATGCCATTGAAATCATTTGGCTTAGATTGACTTATGTGTTGACAGATCAGTAAAAGTAATCTAGCACTCATGAAATGCAGAAAATACCTTCCGCAAAATTTAACTCAATCAAGTTTTGTTTTATATTGCAGATTCGTTTCCCTTTCAGCCGAGACGGAGGTTGAGGACAGCTGAATGACGGAAAAGGAAAATGTTGGATTGACGTCATCAGTTTATTTAATGCTCCGTTCGGTGTGCCTTGGATGTTTTAGTATTTTTTCGTTGTGTTAGATACAACCAGATAATCCTGATAATTGAGATCTCTTGTGTGTTATAATAAAACCAGTTTTATGTTTGTGATGTTTGATGGTGTGTACACATTGGGTGAATAGTCTTCCCCAGCGGTATGATGGACTGTCAGAGATTTCACATCGATCCAACCTGACCAGATCTTGATCACCTAAAGATAGTTTACAATTCTTTATACAATTAAAGTTTGTTGTAGTGGTCAGTTCGGATCTGTCAGGGACTAGGAAAGCCTCCAAACTTATCGGTCTGTGTATAGAGCTAGCATCAACTCTTGCAGAATGATGTATATCTATGATTTAAAAGTTTTGGAGGAATATTCCTATGATTTTTGAATGGTTTCTACCCAAGAACATAACTTCGCTTTTTAATAGATTACCAAAAAAAATATATTTTATTTTTTTATAGTTATCCACCAAATGTCTTTCTCATATCATTGTGGACACAGGTGTTTGTAAGAGTGACCTCCCTTTGATTGTTAATTTTGACCAAACCCTCTCTTCATCTTTCCATAAGATAACATTGTAGTTGTAGGCAAGCAATATGAGAAGGGAGGGAACTATATATTTTATGTCATCAATGTTTTTTCCCTTTGTCCGGATCGTTTGTCTCGATGGTTTAGTAAATCTACAAATATGGAGCGATTTGTTGGAAGGCAAACTTCTTAAACTGTCGTTCCGACCTTCCAGGCAATCATTGTTGTTTTTGAAAACCCCAAAGTAGATTGAAAATGCTGAATTGGAGACCATTTAAAATCTACAGATCAAATATTAGCAAGATCACTCGATATTTCTTCAGAAATCAAGAATGATTTCGGGATGGACTGAGAGACCCTAGGTCCGGACTAAGAAGAAAAGAAGAAGCTTGATTCAATTTGTTTACCGACTAAGAAAAACCCTTTGTTTTGGCATTACTCCGGTGTTTATATGGCGGCTGATATGCGTCATAGTTATAGTTTTTTCCACCCACTAAAATTTTAATTTTTGTAATGGTAGATCTAAAGCGGAAAAGTGAAAATATCACAACTGACCAACATAACAAAATTGCTGTTATTATGTGTTGCGGGGGCCAGTACAATGAAAACCCCAGTAAACAATGGGATAAATTTGTTGGGTCACCAAATAGCTTGTAACAGTTCGATGAGAACATTTCAGATGTATAGTCCTAGCTTTTGTGGAGAAAAAAAAACTGACCAACCACGGGCTGATCAGTTCATTTGAAGATTACAAAGGAGCGACACCTAATGTCAAGGCCAATACAACAGAGCGTAAAGCGACCTTGAGATTGTTTGATGTACATCAAATGACCAAATCAGGTTAGGACTGTGGCTGTAGACAGTTGGTAGTAGGTACACAATGTGTAAGGGTCAAAGGTTAGAATTGTAACTATACAGTTGGTAGAAGGTACAAAATGTGTAAGAGTCAAAGGTTAGAATTGTAACTGTAGACAGTTGGTAGCAGGTACACAAAGTGTAAGGGTCAAAGGTTAGAATTGTAACTGTAGACAGTTGGTAACAGGTACACAAAGTGTAAGGGTCAAAGGTTAGAATTGTAATTGTAGACAGTTGGTAGCAGGTACACAAAGTGTAAGGGTCAAAGGTTAGAATTGTAACTGTAGACAGTTGGTAGCAGGTACACAAAGTGTAAGGGTCAAAGGTTAGAATTGTAATTGTAGACAGTTGGTAGTAGGTACACAAAGTGTAAGGGTCAAAGGTTAGAATTGTAACTGTAGACAGTTGGGTCAGTGAATTAATGTATTACTTCACACCCACAAACGGATGTAGTGACATTTATTTCAACCAATTTCTTTGGTCACCACTTCGATATCTGCACTTTATATTTGGCTCCCAAACATCACTGAGAAGTCCTAGAAAGAAATTATCGGTATGATGCTGTTTCATAATTCATTGTATTCTTATTCTTAAATGGTATTCATTTGAGTCTGATGTACAATCGCTACAATATCAGATTAAAAAACTAAAGCAAAAACAAAGTCTGATCAAACTTAACTTTAATTTTCAATGTCAAATCTAAATCATGTTTATATCAAAACATAGCAACACAAACAAAATGGCAGCTCCATAACAACGGGAAGATAACAAAATGTCACCCCTAGGACAACGGGAAAATAACAAAACGTCACCCCCCAGGACACCAGGAAGATAACAAAACGTCACCCCCAGGACACTGAGGAGATATCAAAACGGCACCCTCCAGGATACAGAGGAGATATCAAAACGGCATCCCAAGGATACAGAGGAGATATCAAAACAGCACCCCCAGGATACAGAGGAGATATCAAAACGGCACCCCAAGGATACAGAGGAGATATCAAAACAGCATCCCCAGGATATAGAGGAGATATCAAAACGGCACCCCAAGGATACAGAGGAGATATCAAAACAGCATCCCAAGGATACTGAGGAGATATCAAAACGGCACCCAGGGGATACTGAGGAGAAATCAAAACAGCACCCCAAGGACACAGAGGAGATATCAAAACGTCACCCCCAGGATACAGAGGAAATATCAAAACAGCACCCCCAGGATACAGAGGAGATATCAAAACAGCACCCCCAGGATACAGAGGAGATATCAAACAGCACCCCCAGGATAGTGAGGAGATATCAAAACAGCAGCCCCCAAGGATACAGAGGAGATATCAAAACAGCAGCCCCAGGATACAGAGGAGATATCAAAATAGCACCCCCGGGCACTTAGGAGATATCAAAACAGCACCCCAAGGATACAGAGGAGATATCAAAACAGCACCCCAAGAATACAGAGGAGATATCAAAACGGCACCCCAAGAATACAGAGGAGAAAAAAAACTAAGTTAGAACATTGTTACAATAAAACTATTCACAAACTATTCAGTAACATCATATCTCAGTATCTGTCATGATATAGCTGAATTATGTTTTCATTCCAGTTTTCTTCTTTTTGGCTCACTGTTACATGGTTCCGACTGAAAATCCTCCAAGCTCACTAATTGACTGCTGTCATCTTCATCACTATCTGAAAACAATGACTGGTCCCCAGAACACTCCTGGAAACAAGACACACCTTCACTGTTAAAGGCCACGGAGTGCACAAATTTTCAAACGAAACATTATGCTTATATCTTAACCATTTCCCGTTGTTAACTAAATTCTTGGTTTCTATTCATGTTAGATGAACTGTGGTGATATGATAAAATCAATCTGTCATTTGTTAACATTTTACATGATTTAAAACAAGAATACTGCTAGGTGAAACAACATACATCTCTAACTGCTGTGTAGAAAAATACAATTTCATGTCATTGTTACAAACCTATTAAGTGAAAAAGAAATTTTGGTAAAAGCAGTGAGGAGAGATCTCGGGACAGGAGTAGCAGTATCTCTTCAAAATACATTTGAATCAAACTGCTGCTATTCAGGATAAAATTATTTCATGTTTTGGTGACTAAACCTACCAAGTTTGAAAAACATTGGTTGAAAACTGTAGACCTCCAGACAAACCAAATGTTGTGTTGGACAATGCCATACCACAATAGGTCTTGTCAAAATGTTTGGTGGGTGTACAAAAATTGGCAAGTTTGTCTTTTTTAAGCTACATGTTCTTTAAATCTTGCAGTTGCCTACAGACCTTTGTGGACATCTGACATTCAAAATACAGAGATTGAGCCATTTTACAGAGTATCCATTTGAAAAAAGAAAACATTTCAATTAAACTTTTCTGCAATCTCAGGAGATAACTTATTTAAACAAGAGGCCCAATATACCTGCATCGCTCACCTGGTATTGAATTAATCAAAATTAGAATTAATGTTAATGTCACAAATTTATTGACATGTTTATCATTGGCATTCAAAGTGGGCACATCCGATTGATTTTTAACTAATTTCCAAAACAAACAACTTATAAAACTCTACTCTAAAAATAACAGTAATGACTATACAATTTCTTTTTCTCTCTCAAAATTTGTAGGGCTTTGACCTAGAAACATCTTTCCACCACTTGTTATCTTAGAAGTATTCACCCTGTTCAGGACCCCGTAGCCTGTTCTACAACATCAAATTACCTCCAATTATCTTAGAAGTATTCACCCTTTTCAGGACCCCGTAGCCTGTTCTACAGCATCAAATTACCTCCAATTATCTTAGAAGTATTCACCCTTTTCAGGACCCCATTAGCCTGTTCTACAGCATCAAATTACCTCCAATTATCTTAGAAGTATTCACCCTTATCAGGACCCCGTAGCCTGTTCTACAGCATCAAATTACCTCCAATTATCTTAGAAGTATTCACCCTTCCCCTACCGATGTATCAAACCAAATTTGATTTGATGCATTAAGGTGTAGTACTGTTTT